AGTATATGCATGATCTCACTATTTATCATTTTTAAGGTGTTAGGCGGATTCTTCGCTATTTGAAAGGCACTTTACACTTTGGTCTTTAGCTTAATTGGGTTTCATCTCTCTCTCTTCATGTTTTTATTGATGCTGATTGGGCAGGTTGTTTGGATACTCATCGCTCAACATCTGGTTTTTGTTTATTTCTTGGCACATCTCTTATTTCTTAGTCCTCCAAAAAGCAGTCCACAGTTTCTCGATCTAGTGCTGAAGTTGAATATCGTGCTCTTGTTAATGCTGTTGTTGAAGCTTTTTGGATTCGTCAGTTATTGTTTGAACTTCGCTTTGCCCTTTCCTTTCCCACTGTTGTTTATTGTGATAATGTCAGTGCTCTATACATGGCTACCAATCCTGTTCAGCATCATCTTACAAAGCACATTGAGATTGATTTACATTTTGTCTGAGAGTACGTTGCATCTCAGTTGGTTACTTTGCGCCATGTTTCTTCCCATCATCAATGGGTAGATATTCTCACTAAAGCTCTTCCTTTCTTGCCCTTTTAGCGGCTTCGTGACAATTTCTGCGTTCATTCTCCTCTTGCACAAATTGAGGAGATGATAGATGTGTTGGTTTTCTTTTTTCAAACAAAGAAATGGAGAGAACCGAGAGGAAGATGAAAAACAGAGCATAAGCTGAAATGGAGAAAAGTATATGACTTCAACTCCATTTCAGCTTATGCTCTGTTTTTCATCTTCCTCTTGATTCTCTTCATTTCTTTGTTTGAAAAAAAATCCCAACATGGTATCAGAGCATTTATGCCTAAGCACCTAGGATCAGCCCTTTGCTGTCCATCTTGTGCTTGGTTTTCATCATTTTTTTTTTCAGCCATGTACCATCCTTCTCAAATAACCTCAGCTCCTCCTTCATTACAGCTTTCCTTCTTTGGATTTTGTTGCCTCAAACAAATTTTGGAGGTTTTGCAACTAAGTTGCATTTTCTGATTAAATAAAACAAGGATTTTGGTACTCAAAGTGCTGCTTCATCATCTTCTACATCTTCTACAACTTCCTTAGGCTAAGTATTTAGCTACTCGGTCATGAAAATGACTTGATGCAATGTTGAGTACTCTCTTGGTCCCAATCTGCATCTCCACAAGCCATCCTTGCCTTTTCTGGACTAATGTTGTAGCATAAAACACCACCCATACCAGCAACATAATCTTTTGCCTCAAGAAGATTGAAGGACGTCAAGTTAACCTTCAACTTCACAACTTCACAGCTTCACATAGTCTTTTCTGCCTTAACAAATTGGTTGCATCCTTTTGTCAACCACTTTCAAAGATTGAAAGACCTAAAGTTAACCTTCATCATCACAGCATCTTTGCTGCATTTTTGGTCAGAGGAGTTTGTTGTGTTGGGTAAGAAAAAACAGGGTATTTTGAAGAAAAAACTTGTCGGCAGCCATTTAGGTTTGGTCAGAATTTGTGGTGGTCTATTTCCCTCAAATCTCTCTCACACAAGCCCTCAAAGATCATGAAAGGCTTTGATACCATGTTGGTTTTCTTTTTTCAAACAAAGAAACGGAGAGAACCGAGAGGAAGATGAAAAACAGAGCATAAGCTGAAATGAGTTGAAGTGATATACTTCTCTCCATTTCAGCTTATGCTCTGTTTTTCATCTTCCTCTCGGTTCTCTTCATTTCTTTGTTTGAAAAAAAATCCCAACAAGATGACTATTATGTATATAAAGGCAATTATGTATTTTAACTCCAAACACTCATTGTGTATATACCTCACTGTTAATAGCAATACATAAGGCCAATATTATTCTTCAATGAGACAAGCCCCAGAATCAATTTCTATTTGGTAATATAAATAGATGAGATCCATAATCACGTTTAGTCAGTATCTACCAAGCACATTTTCCATGAGTAGGAAAATTACAAGACAATGATTGTATGCGAGCTTCTTTTTGGGTTAATGTGGGATAGGGCTGACCTCCCACTTTGCTTTGACTGTGCATTCATGAGAAAATACTGATATGAACCAAGAAACTCAATTGAGACTAGGTGTCATTGGGAGCGAAGCCATGAAAATCGTCTTTCTGATGCCAAAAACTAGGCAGTCTATTATTACCATAGAGAGCAGCATGATATACTCGCTTCTCAGGCAGTCCAACATCTGACAATATCAAATTACCCTGCAGGCAAAGACACGTAGAAAACAAACTTGTAAAACGAACGAATGGCAATTCTTAATATATCTTAACAGTTAAACAGAACAGTTTTCCTCCATGCATTTGTAATTTCTTGACATGGGAAGGCCGTGCAGTGCCGAGTCCTAATTTCTCATAGTTCAAGAACAAAAACAAGGACAAATTTGAAGAAATATCCTATAACTATCTAGGTAGTTACATTTTTTTCTTTTCTAAAACCTGGTAATTAAGCAGGCTTGAAGAAATTCTACAGGGCAATGAATCAGAAAGCATGGAGGCATTCCATTCTATTATATAAAAGAATCATCCATGGTAACAATATTGCTGAAAAAATGAAAACAATTAACGATATTACAATGAATCCATCTCAGTAACTGATACATAAATCTTTCAGGGAAGAAAAGTAACAGGCAATGCATACCTCCTTAGCCATTAATCTGCGGACATTATTAGCATAAAGTTTTGAATCATCCTTCTCTTCTTGCGATGGGTAGTAGACGGGTAACCTTGTCACTTCTATGTAATTAATAAATTGACAGAGGAGAAAAATCACATGTCGTACCTGCATACAAAGATGCAGAGAATGACAGTAAGACTCCAAGTAAAATGATTCAAATGTCATACCTGAAAACAAACATATTTCCTAATTTCATCCATTTTGAATTATTCTAAATATTTTTGTCTTCGGCAGTTCCATGATACACCCAAGTTAAATCCAGAATTGCAGATAAAAGATTATAAAACACTGAATGAGGTAGAATGGTCAGTGCAGGATTGAGCATAAAGAAAGAGGAAAAATTGGGGATTGCGCAAAGCAACTCATGTAGTAGAACCAAACCAGAATTCCTTATTCAAAAGTCAACTCCACATCTCCACCCTATACAGATGACTTGTAACAGAAACATCTAACAATGAAACTGCCACTGAATTATTAAATCACTGAACTTTCAGTCATTTTAGGTTTGATATTCGATATTTTCCTCTTTACCAGTTTACCCAACATTCAACTCCTGAGATTCAGCAGCTATTATACTAAAGGCACAAAAATAAATTTATTATCTAAAGCCATTAAATCATGAATTTGCTTAAAAAATACTTGCCCCAGAGATTGAATCCCAGGCAGGACTGAATCTTTGGTATGGATATCTTAATATGACTGGAAGCACAGGCACTCTTGCCAGAAAGGCACCTGTCTTGAAAGGAAGAAGGTAACTTCCATTTGTAATTGTGCCTTCTGTTGTCAATATGAAGATGAACGATGAATCACAGTGGTTACAAATTAATATATAAAAGCAAACATAATACATAACAAGGAATTTATGAACATCCATGATAAGTTAAATCTTGCTATAAAATGATTGATAGGGATGAAATGAGATGAGATGGGGATACTAACCTGGAAAAAGCATCATCATTGGAGCAATTTTATTTTGATGTGCTTCACGAACTCTCTCAGCCACAACGCCTTCAAGACAGGTTGTTATTTAAGTATTATACTTCAAAAATAAATGCACACAAGCAATCAATCTTCTTAACAACGAGCAGCGAGCAACAAGCAACAAGCAACACTACCATGGTCTAAGCAGCAAAGCAGCTGCAACGTAAAAAAAAAAAAAAAAAGGCTGTACACTAATACAGGGAAACCCAAAAAAGATAATGTCAAAAAAGGTAGGCAAAATAGACAATTTGTTCAAATATAAATTTCAAATGTAGAAAATAACAGAAAAAAGCAGTTTAAATTTTAACTACCTGAAACACCCTTGAAGTCGGAAGATTTTGACTCCCTTTGAACAAAGATGCAACCAAGGCACTTGCTGTCACCAAATAAGACACCATAACATAACTCCACATTCCCAGTTATGATAGCCCATTTATATCCATTACTAAGCGTGGATGAGCATTACTTAATATTACATTCACTCTTTACTATAAATTACAACTAAAAAAAATCAATAATTAAACATATCAAAAGAAAATATGTAAATAAGAATACTAATTTTTTTATTTTTTATTTAAAAATATTAATTTTATCTGCTTTTAAATATACATGTCAATTTTTTAAACTTTTTTACTTAAAAATATTAATTTTTATTTTTTTATTGAAATATATCAACTTTTAACATTTTTTTAAGGATTAATTAAGTAGTTATGTTAATGTGACAAACAAATCTTTTAAAAAAGATTAACATCTTTAATTAAAAATATTGAAAGTTAAGATTTTTACATAAAAAAATTAAAAATCGAAACCTGACAAGTTTAATACATTTATATAAAAAAGGTGTAAAGTTAATATTGTTATTTGTATTTTTTCTGAAGTTACAGCCACAGAATTCTAATGGACTCCCTAAATGCTAATACTTGAGGATGTTAAAAGTCAGCTCACCTAATGAGGCCAACAAATGGAAGTTTAGCCACTGATCTCTTCAGCAATAAAGTCCAAGATTACAATCGACAAAATCATAAGCAGAAGCATGTCAGTCCAGCACACTATTACTTGTGACAAAACGGGGAAGCGGGATAAATCAACATACATTAGCGACAAAGCTCGAGAAAGAAGAAGACATATGATACAATATATCTATATAGGAAACATGATTACAAATTATTGCTCCAGGTCTTTCCACTTCTTCTGATTGATCCTGGCTCTGATTCTAACCAAAAAAAGAGAGGAGTGGGGAAGAAGAAGTTAAGCTATGGAATCAAGAAATCAATCTAGCTGAAGAAGAAGTAAATCTCACACAAACTATACCTCACTTGTTGATTTATCGTCGCTACTTATCCAATAAAATCCAAACACGAAAAGCATAAGCCTAGCCAGAAACCTCCCGGAATGAACGATCACCGCTCGCCTCCACCCGCGTAGGTGCGCGGAGTCTCCCTGCTCGTCCTCTCGGTTCGGCATTGAGAAAAGAGTGCAAATCCGACAAATCAAGTAATAGAGGACCAATATAGTCATCGCCAGAATGATGCGTATAGGAAGCAGAGTCAGGAGCGCGATTACGAGTAGGAGCTTCTCCTTCAACGGCAGCTCGCCTCGTCCCATTGGACCGTAGACATCGTTCCGCACATATGCAGCACATTTCTTCTCCACCTCCTGGATAGTCTCAGTGGATACCGGCATTGGGGATTCATGCTTGAGAAGAGGGCGATCGTCCTTGGCTGAGGCATTTTCGTGAGACGGTTCCTGCCGCGGCATGTTGGACGGCGATTCGGAACACGGGAGTTTAAGCATGGTTTTTTACCACCATCCGTAATTCGATCAAAGATTGATTGGTTGGGAGATTAAATATTATTCTTTAATATTTTAAAAATATGGGAAGAAGAGAACTCGTAGATCCGGAAAAACTGAGTTGCTTGCTTTACTCGTACGTGAAGGTTTGGTGGGCCTGAAGTTTAATAACTTCGGCGTACGAAATCAGGGATACGCACAACTCAGACCTCACAAGAATTTACCAATAAAAGACCTCACAAGAATTTACCAATAAAAGACCTCACAATCACAAAATCTCAAACTTGGTGAGGTGAGGTTGGGTCCATGAGGATTCATCCATGGCCGTTGGATTATATGTTAAAAGAAGCCGCCAGGCACCAAATGTGAGATAAGGGGGTGTGGGTCCATTCATTAACATTCTGTCATTTTCGGTTAACTTGTTAGGAACAAAGAAAAGTCAACACTGTGGAAATTATCAAACTGGTTAATTGACTTTGAGTTCAATATTAAAAGTTTTTTTTTTTTTTTTTGAGAAAAAGGTATTAGCAATACATTAAGAAACTGCCATACGGCATGAGAGGCCATGGGAGGAAGAGAGGTGAAATCACTCGAGCAACCTGAGGTCGACTGATCCAGCCATGGGACACCCTTCAAACTACTCCGGAGAGGATGGCACAAGATCTCCAGGACGCCGCGGCAGAGATCCAGTCCGACGGTGGCCAGAATTGGAAAAACAGCGAGCACCTCCCAAGATCTACAGGAAAGCTGAGGGTCGCCAGATCTGAAACAAAGAAACTATACAAGAAACATAAAGTAAAACAAAACAACAAGAAAAACAGAAAAAAAACCTAAAGGGGTCACCGGAAAGGGACCCAGAAACCGACAAACCCCGAAAGGTCATCGGAGGAAACCAAATAACCCCAAAGGGTCATCGGAGGAAACCGAATAACCCCGAAGGGTCATCGGAGGAGGGAGCACATGCCGGCTTCAGCATGCTTGAGCGGCTGGGGAGCCCAGCGGCTCAAGCATCAAAACCTCGGAAGCTCAAAGGCTTCCGATCAAAACAAACGCCGCACCGAAGAAGGAAGCAGGGGGGGGGGGGGGGGGAGAGAAAAGGGGAGGGGAAAGTCTTTAAGTTTGAATCTCGAGATGCATAAAGAGAGAACAAAAAAGGGGTGATTATTACTTGTCATACGGTGCATCAGTAGAGATTAAAAACAGAAAACAAAACTTGATCAAGAACGATCAGTTCTATGATGTCAAGCATCAGACAGGGATTGACTAAAAATATCTGACAAAAGCATGAAACTAAAGAAATAGAACAGCTGATGGTTCCATATGCATCTCAAATTCTCTTCTATACCGGTCTGATGTTAGAAGATTATTATGCATAAATTGGGTTCTGCAGGAAACAAAAAGTGGATAGACACGCAACCACCAAGGCCACCCCCCCCTCACTAAGCTATTAAAATCAAGAGATGAGCACATCGATTCAGAAGAATTTGGGGCAAGAACATATCAGACTACTGCTAAGGTTGGGAATTGATTTAACCCAACATTGTCACATATAATTCCACATTATCTTCCATCCAATGAGCACGAGTGAAGCTGCAGGAATTTTGGTAAACATGGATGCATGTACAATCAAACAATAAAGACAAAGAACCAAAAACAGCTAATGAATAGCAATTAAAACCCTGCAGACTATATTGTTAACAAAGTGTTAGAAACTTAAGAATTAGCTAAGATCTGAGTGTGTGAGGTCAAGTCTGGTTGTGAACATAGTTGCATAGTGTTTCTGCAGAACAAGTTCAAGGGATAAAGGTTCTGTTTGAACATTGAAGGACCAAGATCATCTATGTTCCACAAACTAACATATTACAATATCACAAGCAATTTGCTTTACCATGAAATGATAGTTTAGGGAATAAGCAAGAACCGAGAGCCCTATGAATACAGCATTAGTTAGTCAAATATGTAATGCAAAAAGGAAGAGAGGATGGAAAAAAATGTATCATGAAGAATTACCTGCCACAAACAATACAGGTAAACATATTACAATATCTAAATTGGATGGAGGGACGACATTGATACGTTTTTGAATTGTAGAGGGAGGACAGGTAAAGTTAGTTAATAATAATAGTAGAGGGAGGCCATGAGGCAAATTGATAGTAGAAGGTTTAAATTACACTATTTTTGATAGTAGAGGGATGATAGATGGCATTAACCCAATTCTCTTTCCTAGGGTACAAATTTCTATAGAACTAAGAGATTTGGGGGGAAAAAACATCATGTCACATAAGTAAAGTAGACAAACTTCTATCTAAACTTCTCATTAACAACATTGAGGACAAATGCAACCAAACATATTTTCCTTCTAAAGTTTTATACTCTCAATCTAAACTAACTGAAAATAGGATGTTAAATTTCTTGCCAACCAGTGCTTTGCTTCTATCCCACAATGGCAAGCCAAACCAAATCTTCAGGTTCACATACAAACAAGGATCAGATGATTAGAACTGAAATCTTAAATGAAGAACAATCCCTTAACCACTGACCTTCAACCATGGAATCTAAACACCTTACCTACATCCAAGTTTGTCAAATAGAAATGTAAAAGTTTAAAAAGTAATGGTTAATCTCCAACTCTTCTAAACCTGTAGCCTATTTCCATCTTTTTATGGTGCAATGTAAGTAAATTAAGTAATTAGAAAAAGAAAGAAAAAAGGCAAGTACTAATTAAATCCATTCACAAACATTATCTAAACAAGCATTGGGCCAATTGAACAATGATTGAGGATCAATTGTATTAAAATTCAATAGGAAAAAATGAACCCAGTCCAATATGATACACTGGATGCCTATATTGCTGTGATGAAATTTAAACAAGAGAACCCAAAATTTTCATGGGTTCAGAGTCTATATATATTATCCTACTGCCACTTTTGAGAGTTCAATCACTGTCAGCATTCCCAGCTAGATATCACATAACTGCATGGTTAATTCTTCTTCCACCACATAAACCCAATTTCACAAATCAATAAACGAGATAAACAGCCATTTTTCTCACAATCGTACCTTGTAATGGGGCACCAAAATCAGCAGGAGACCCAATTTTTATGTGTGCTAATGATAGCTGACAGAAGTCCGGCAGAGGACACCAGCAGCGGCCCCGAAAGACTTCCTTTGCCGTTTCGAATATCCGCCAATGCCATTAACCCATCAGCCAAATCTTGAACAGTCGAAAGTGTCTTCATGAGCTTTTTCTCTCTCAATTTCTTCATCCTCGTTTCCTCCTCTTGATAACCAATTCCTCTCGAAATTGCAATCTCAATACTAGCGTTCAAGCACATCTCCTCTTGGCTAATCTGCCTCAAATCCCTAACTTTAAGGGTAATACTACCTAAGTATCCGATGAACTCGGCCCAAGCGCTGATTTTTTGTAAATTACGCGAGTGTTTACCATCGAACAATCCCGATTTAGCCAACCAAATGAATTGTTCAACAAAATAGTATAAACCCTCACCTCCGTAAGCAATAATAGTGAGAAAAATCTCCTGCTTGGAATCGAAATGCGAGTTCCTCAGAGCATTGATGTCTTGAACGAATTTACCGAGTCGAAAGGCTTTGCGACTTAATCCAACACTGGATTCGAAACTCTTGAGGCGCTGAGTCGCAGGCACGGTCTCGGGGAGGACAGAGGAGGCTAAAATTATCTTGGTGGCGTACCGAGATATCTTTAGCAGCTTGTCGACACCATCTCTCTCTTCGCAAGGTAGGCTTCGAGATGGTTCAGGAAGTCTCTGTCTTTGGGCTTGGATTGAGTTGGGATTGCGGAGGTTTTGAGATGAGTGGGAGCTGAAGATTTCGAATCCATGGCGTCATGAAATCGGAGAAAGAAAGAGAGACTCAAAGGAAGATTGCGGCTAATGGGTGACGTAATTTTCCGTCACCCGGGAGAGGGGCAATTTATATGGTCGAGATTTGCTTCCGTTATATTTATCAAGGAATGAAAAGACAGGAAACGGTGTCGTTGGAACTTTGGACTTGGCGGGGAAAACTGCAAAGGGAACTGATGATTGATTGGACAAGATGGTTGTTAAAACTTAAAGTTAAACTGTGCAAGTCGGGGACCAAAATACGCAAGTCGCTTTTGCTCTTATTATTATGCGTGCCATCCGCGCCGGATAATGTAGGTGGATGTCTGGACTCTAAAATAAATTTTCAATATGTCCAAATCAGCTATTCATTTAAAAAAAAAAGAAAGAAAAAAAGAAGCGAAATCAGCATCAGAAATCAGAAATAGGGTTATTTAAAAAAGTTTGATTTAGGTTTTATTTATTAGTGTTCATTTTTATT